GCCCGGGCAGCTTCGGCTCCGGTCGCGGCCCGCTGTGGCCTCCGCCTCCGCTCTCCCGGGGGACGCGCGTGCCCAGCTGCCGCCGCCGCGGCCGAGTCCCCGCCCTGCTCCCGCTCCGGGGAGCTCACTCCCGGGTGGCGGCACGCGCCACGCTCGGCCACCCGGTGGAAGGGCCTCCCGCTACAGCGTGCAGCCTGTTGGAATAAAGGCGGCTCAACAGCCGAATTCGGTGTTTTGAAAACATGGCGTGGTTTTGAATGATTGAAAGACAGGTTTTTTTCCTTTTGAAATTCACCCTTTCACATTGATTAATGTTTTCCTCATCCAACGCGAGCACCTACACTCCCCGCCGCAGCGACGCCCTGGGAGTCACCCGAGGGGCAAAGGCTCTCGCCTGGAATGGAGAGGAAAAATGAGCACAGGTGTTCGCTACCTCGCTGCGGGCGCAATGGTAACCGAGGTGTTTTATTCTTAATCTATTAGATGATGTAATCGGTAGTGAACCGGTTCCATACTACTCTAGGATTTGTAGAGAAAATGTATTCATATCCTGAATGATTACCATAATGTAAAGATAGTGTCCAGAAACAGTAGTCAGATTATGACAAGTAGAAATGGTCGTAAGTGGGGATTGAAATGAGTGTTTGCAATCTCAGTCCTCACTTGTGATTTATATAATTGCATGCACGTAGGTTTCACTTGATTCTGAGTAGAGCACAGGTAAAGAATATTACTGGCCTTCTCTGGCATCTTCTGATGGTCACTGCTCAGCACTGGATATGTTGCAGTAGAAGTTTAATGTTAATGAATTCTTATAATCGGTCAGCATCTTACACTTTTTAGTGTTTGTTCATCTCAGCAAGTATTTATTGGATACCTATTATGTGCCAGGACCCCCTAAAGATAGCAAAGTCTGACCACACTCAAGTCCTTTATGTGAGATGGCATGACATTTGCATGTACTTGCACATACGCTCTTGTCTACTTTGTGTCTTCCCTGACACAGTGTAAATGCTGTGTAAACACTGTATTTAGGGAATCGTGACCAGAAAGACCACGGATTCGCGTTCAGTAGACGGACACAATTTTGGGATATAGGCCTGCAGAACTAGATGCTAGAGGTAGATTTGTCTCCCATACAGATTAAGTCCCTGCCCACACAGAGCTTACACTTGTTAGAAGCAAGCAAGCAAATAAATGATAGAAGTGCTATGTAGAATAATAAGCTAGAGCTTAAGGGGTAGGGTGCGCCAGCGAAGAGTGGACATCAACTCTACAGTGAACAAAGGTCTCTGGGAAGGTGGTATTTGGGCAACCACCTGAGGGAACGGAGCGAGGTGTGAGTGTCCAGGAAAGCGCCTTCTGTAAGAAGTGGGGCCGCAAGCGCCAAGGCTCCTAGGTGAGGGCAGGTTAGTGTTAAAGAGCAGCCAGGAGGCTGGAGCGCATCTTACAGGCAAGAGAGAGTGTGGTAGAAGATGGGGTTAGTGACGTAGCCACAGTTAGATCGTGAATTACGTCTAAATCTTAGTTGGGATAGGGCAGTCTGAGTGTAATCCGTTCCAGGACCGTATCATTTTCTGTGTAGACCTGGAAAAGTGGAAAATGAGTTCTCTGCTTCCAAAATACAATGCTAAAACAGGCAGAGGATGGCAGTTACAGCCATTTTTGAGGAAGTGGGGGGAAAGTGGAAAAAAGTTACTGCTCCCAGTTTTCCAGTCCAACCTAGCAATCTCGATGAAATGTCAATGTGAAGGCATATTCTCTGTGGCTCATGATTCTGCTGTGGGGTCACGGCCCCACGCTCTGGACAGTAAGAATGAGCACGGAGGTCCTTGAGGGGCTGTAATTCTGCCTCCCATGGTCATTATTATTTTCATTAGATTTAGTATTACTTCGTTAGTAATCGTTTAGCAATACTTCAAGTAAAGTGGTTCATTACTTCTGACCTCTAAACGAATACTTGATCAGTACTTTAGCTCACCATTTTAAGGAACTTTATTGTAAATCACTAAGAAATTCAGAGTTGCCATCTATTTTCTATTAGCTCGAAAACAATTTTGTCTTGATTTACAGATCAGCTTTTCTCATAGGCATTTCACTTATTCCAACATTATTGACTT